CTGTTTGTTTCCAAAACATTGTGTGTACACTGCTCTCGCTGGCTCTGCTCCCTGGAGACGAGGAGCCCTCCTGCAGATCGCTGCTGGAGCCGAGCTCCCCGCTAGAGCCCCTCATTCCCCCAGCAAGGCCAAAGCCCAACAAAAAAAAGCATTTGGGCTCTGCGAGCACCCCCTGCCTTGCCTGCAACGTCCACTCCGGGGGACATTTTCCTAGGTGGGAGCCAAGACGTTAGACAGGGGTGGAAAAGTGCTGGAAGAGCTCGATGCGGGGCACACACCCACAGCGCTCATTTTGCTGGCGAGGTCCGCGAGGCACCCCCAGCTTCACGGCACCCCCAGCACGCAGAGCATCCCCCGCTCCCCACTGCGCTGCACCAAGCGCATGGGATGGAGCCTCCCTCACCACCGTCCCGCTCCTATGGGGGGATCCCCCCAGCGAGCACCCACCACAGGGCTGCCGCACGGTGCCACCCCAGCACCCCAAGCTGGTGGAGACGTGCTCGGGGGACGTTGTTCCCCTGCACCTCGTGATCCCCAGCTGCTTCAGGGGGTCCCACCTCGAGGTCCCCTCCTTCCTGCAGGCCCCCTCAGGGGCACAAACATCCTCACGCGCTGGCTCGAGGACGAGCAAAGGCAGCAGCGGGCAGGGCAGAGGGCTCGTCGTGCAGCCACAGCAGCAGCCAGCCCCCCATGGGCCGCCGGCTCAGCGCCTCGGAGCCGCGGGGAACTGTGTCGTAGCCGCTTCACGTGTCCCTGCTCGCAGCTTTGTTTACAAGCGTGAGGCTCTCACGCTCGCCAGCACGGCCGGCCCCGGCCCGCCAAGCCCACGCGAGGGTGGGACGCTGCCAGCAGCCAGCGAGGGAATCGCGCTCCCGGGGCAGATGCGCGGTGATAAGCAGCGAGCGCAAGCCCATTGCCAGCCCCGCAGTCAGAGCCAGCCGGAGCCGGCACCAGAACCCGAGGGAGCCGTCCGCGGGTCGACGCCGAGCAGACGTGGCGAGGAACGGAGCAAAGCAGGGAGCGAAGCAGCAGGGAGCGAAGCAGCCGGCGCCGCGAGACCCAAGGTCACCCGAGCAGGAAGGGAACCATGCAAATGCCTGGCTGGGGACGGCTCCGGCTGCCTCCGGCCTCTCCCGTGCACGTCAGGGGGATGGAGGGGAGGTTTCAGCGGGTGGTGGAGCGGGGCTCTCCCGACCACCTGGGGAGAAGCCTGGCTCTGTCTGCACGGCGTTTGCTGCAGACCCCTCCCCGCACAGCCCTGCAGGACCCCACGGCCGGTCCAGACAAAGGAGGCGACGTGTTCTGGGAAAGCTGCGGAGGGGCCATAAGGCACGAAGCCCCCCTTTACGGGAGGAAGCAGCCGGGAAGCGCCACCAGCCCCTCCTGTTAGGGGCATCGATCCCGCAGAGAGGCACGACAGGCGTTACGCAGCTCCGCCAAGCCCAGCTGCACGCACACCCTGGGGAGGACTCAAAGGAGCCCCAGCAACCCCGAGCTCCATCCAACCCCCCCCACCCACACCCAGGCAAGGGGCTCCCCCCGCAGCCCCTGGCCATGATCCCACCGGTGCCAGGAGGTTCCCGGGAGCAGCCCCCTGCCCTGAGCCCCCCCCCGCATGCTCCCCCCAGGGAGCACGGGCACCCGCCCGCCCCCAGTGCAGAATCGGGCTCCAAGCAGGAAGAGCGGAGCCGCGGGAACTCCCCCGCGCCAGCCCCACTCCTTCACCTCTGGGCTATCATTAAATCAGCCCTGCCTCCTGTTTACAACTCCCGAGCTGCTCCGCGTGGCCCCAAAACAGAGGGGACAGCGGATTTGGGGCCCCCTCCGTTACTTTCCGCGGGAGGAAGAGAGTTTTGCAACCCGACAGCACCCAGGAGGCGACAGGCTGCCTCTCACCTCGCTTTTGGGGAGAAAACACAACCTCATGGAGCAGCCGCTTCACACCCCAACCCAGCACATCCAGCGCAGGAGGCTACCCCACACCCCGCACCGCGGGCTCACGGCTTTTACCACGAGCTTTGGGAATTCTCCGCAATGCGGGGAGCTCGGTGAGGCTCCCGCTGCAGCCCCAGTGCTCCGAGGCCGGCGCCCTTTGAGAAAAGGCGCTTGGAAATTCTCTGCCCATGCTTTGGGTCCAAAAGCCCAAAAAGAGCTGATCCCCTGGAAATTAAAGCGAGCAACCGCAGCTAGGCTGGCTGCTGGCTTTCAGGTGAAGCCGATTTTAAATCTTTGGGTGCGTTTTTCACCATCGAGCCCAGACAACCCCACGAGGGCTCGAGGGAAGAGCCCAAGGGTGCCAGGCAGCCCTCCTGCCTCTGGGGCGGGCGCGGGGGCAGCACCAGCCAGGGGTCGGAGCGGTCCCAACGAGGGCGTTCTGCAGCCACAGGGACAGCACTCCATCCGTCCATCCGTCTGTCCGTCCGTCCCGACTGTTAAACAGGAACAGGCCTGACCTGACCCAGAGGGTATCGCCGAGGATCATTAGCAAACAGCTGCGGAGCCCCAGCGCTCCAGAGGCAGTTATCACCCTAATAACCCATTAGCTAAACGAGCCCAACTCTGCAATCGCTCCTTATAAGGCCAGGGAAGCTGCGGGGAACGAGGGCTTCTCCCGGGGAGACTCGGGGTGACTCACCCGGCAGGGCTCGGCCGGGCGGCTGCCGGCACCCGAAACGCCGCGGCCCCAGCAGCCGTCGTGGCGGTGTTTTGGGGGGCCGCAGCCCGCCGAGGCTCAGGCCGAGCACCCAGGGGCTCGGCACCACCAGCCGGGGGGGTCCCACACCCTCGCCGGGAGGTCGGGGCGCACGGGGCCGGCTGCAGGTCGCTGCTGGCCCCACCCTGGGCCTGGCCTTTCCGCAGCCGCCCGGCTGCGACGGGGAAGAGCGAAGGAGGTGGAAGGGAAAACAGGAGGCCGCCGAGCAAGCCAGGGAGCGAGCGACCGAGCACGTTCAGTGCTGGTCCCCGCACCGCGGCCCCACGGGGACGGCTGGAGCTCCACCGCAGGACCCCAGAGCCGCAGCTGCAGAGCCCCGAGGGGCCGACCGAGGGCAGCCCGGACCCACCGGGGGGCAGCGGGGTCCCGAGGCCATCGCCCAGCCTGCAGCAGCCGCTCGACCACCCACCCGCCCTCCCAAAACTCGGCGCTTCGGCCAGGCGAGGACACGAGGACGGGGACACGAGGACGGGGGCCGGGAGCAGCCCCCACCCCGGCCCCAGGGCGAGCCCCGAGGGCACCCCCCGAGCAGCTCCCCCCCGGGACCTCCTCCCCGCCACCCCCCCCAGGACCGCGAGGAGGCGGCGGGGCCGGGCCCCGGGCGGAGCTCACCGGGCTCTGGCCGTGGGGCCGCACGTCCAGCACCGCGCACCAGCCCTGCCGCCCGGTCATGGCCCCGCCGCGACTGCGGCCCCGCGCCGCCGCCCCCGCGCTTATATACGGCCACGCCCCCGGCCACGCCCCCGCCCCGTGGCCACGCCCAACCCGTTGGCCACGCCCACTTGTGTGTTGGCCACGCCCCTGGCACCCTTGATGTGCCGAGGGGCTGCGCCAGGGGGTACCGGGACTGGGCAAGGGGGGCTGAGCCGAGCCAAAATGAGCCAAAATGTGCCAAACTGAGCCCAAATGTGCCGAGCCGAGCCGTGCCACACTGAGCCGTGCCACGCCGAGCCGTGCAAGCCACAGCTGTCCCAAAGCCCACCAGCCTGTGCCCCTGCAGCCTTCTCCCCCCTGCACCCCGGGGAGCCCCCATTTGGCACCGTGGGGCTCGGGGCTGGCGTCCCAGGGCGTGCCGGGCACAAGGCGCCGCGTAGCGCTGCCATGAGCTCAGCCTCAGCCCCACTGCCGGGTACCAATGCAATGAGCTCAGCCGGCCTCAGCCTCGCCACCAGCCCCAGGCCCCGTGCGGTCACCGGGGCCACGCGCAGGCTACAGGGTGGGGACACTGCGCCAGGACGGCGCTCCCCAAAGCAAACCCGGGGTCACGGCCGGCTTTGGTGATGCTCAGCCAGGCTCCTCGCCTCCTGGGCACCCCGCAACTGAGTGGCCACAGAGCCCAGAGGGGAAACCGAGGCAGAGAGGGGCTGTGGCACCCTCCTTGCTGGCTGGGGCAGGGATGGTGGCTGCCCGCAGCCCCCACACGCGTGGCCGGGAGGAGCCAGGCCCCAGGCAGGACCGGTTGTGCTTGCAGGGCCCGGCCACAGCGGGGATGCCGTGGGTGCGGGGCCAGGTGCTGGGCACAGGCCCTTGGCAGCGGTGACACAGGCCCAGGACGAGCTCGGGTCCCTCCCTGGTGCACGGTGGGGACGTGGGTGTCACCACTGCCATCGCCTGTGACCGCCCCCACCGGCTGCTGCGTCCCAGCCAACACCAGCGGGGTGTGAAAGGGGAAACTGAGGCAGCTGGGGCCGGGGAGGACCGGGCCCCGGGGCACCACGCACTGCCCCGGCCCTACACGAGCCCAGGGCCGGAGCCAGCTCGGCCCTGCTCAAGGCCATGGAGGGGAACTGCGGTAAACACCTGCCAATCAAAGCAATGGCACTAATTAGCATTTGGCAAGGCTCCCATCCTTGTTAATTAGTGATAACGAGGATTTATCTTGGAGCCAGATCCAGCTGAGCAGGAGGGAGCCTCGTGCCGCCGAGCCCCGGCCCCCACCCATGGCCCCAGCCCCACGCTCCCTCCCGGCCCTGGACCAATGCCGCAGGCACCACACACGTTAAAATGTTTGATTTTATTTAAAATAGCACTTTGAGAGGGAAAAGAGCAGCAGAGGGTGGAGGGCTGGTGCATACAAAAATAAATGGGAGCCTCTGGGGCTGCGGGTGCTGCCAGAGGGGACGGACACACGGACACCCAGCACGAGCCTGCCCCCGGCTCTGCAGCGTCCCTGTGACCGTGTCCCCCCCGTCCCCGCTGCTGGGGGGACCCCGGCACGCAGCTCCCCGGGGCCGCACGGCCCCCGCCACGTCCCTGCTTCAACCACGCCGAGTTCGGTGCCCTGAGACCCGCAGGAAGACAAAGAGGCCAGACGGGGTCCTGGGGGCTGCGGCCCCCCCAGCCCACAACTCGGCCCGGCCCCTCTTCCTCCGTGTCGGCAAACGGCCTCCTGCACCCGGCGGCCCGATCCTGCGGTGGCCCCGGGCCCTCAGCAGGAGCTGGTCTGCAGGTTGGCCTCGTTGAGCAGCGAGGCGATGGAGGAGGGCCCGTAGGCGCTGTCCAGCTCCTCGTCCGAGCTCAGCGCCTCGTCCTGCAGCGACGACTCGGCGGCCGAGCGGGCGGCCTTGCGCCTGCAGGCGGGGAGGGAGGAGAGGGCTCAGCATGGGGGGAAGGCAGAATGATGGGGGGGAGGCGGTGGGGACCCCCCAGCTCCCTACCAGGCCTCTTTCTCCAGCGTCTTGATGCGGGCCTGCAGCTGCTCGTTGAGCTCGTGCTGCTCCTCCAGCTCGCGCTGCGCCTTCTTGCGAGCAGGCCTCCAGCCGCTCGATCTCCTCCTCGGCCTCGTCCACCTGGCGCTTCAGGGCCTTCACCCGCAGGCTCAGCTGGGGGGGACGCGGGCGCTGGGTCAGATGGCACTGAGCCGGGCTGGGGGGGGCTGCGCGCCCACCACCCCCCCCAACCACCCCACCTGGTCCTTCTGGTCGCTGACGTGCTGCCGCTCGTCGTCGATCTGGATGGTCAGCTCCTTCACCTTGCGCTCCAGCTTGCGGGTGGAGGACAGCAGGACGTTCTTCTCCCTGGGGGGAGCCGCGAGGTGTGGGTGAGGGTGGCAGCCCCCAGCGCATGGGGATGGAGGGCGTGGGGGGGCCGCTACCTTTCCTCCGCCTGCAGCCTGTCCTGCAGCTCCTCCACGCGCGCCTCCAGCTGCGAGACGTTGCCGCTGGGCTTCTGCAGGCCCTCAGAGCTGGCCAAGCGGTTCTTCAGCTCCTTGTTCTGGGGGAGGACATGGGGGGCACGGCTTTTGGCCCAAGGAATAAAGCCAAAAAGCTGCTTCTACCCCAAAAGCACCGCATAACATAGCTGTTCTCCCCGTGGTGGGCCAGGAGCTCCCCAGCTGCTGCGCGGTGCCAGCGGCGCGTGCCCCGTGCTGGTTTTGGCAGCGGTAATGACACCCCGGGAACGAGCAGGGCTCGAGGAGCTCATTTCCCATTGATCCGCTTTGCTCCCAGCCAGCTCCACGTTGGGTAATGAAGGGCTCAGAGCCCGGAGGGGCCGGCGGGGAGCCGCTCGCTGTGGCCCCAGGGCGTGAGGGAAGGGGGGATCCTGCGGGAGCCCCGGGGGGGCCCCACTCTGCAGCGCTTCCCTGCAGCATCCTGGGCAGGAGCCAGGGTGGAGCGACACAAGGAGAGCTCCGAGGATGCTCTGCCTGAGGCTGGGGCACCGGGAGGAAGGGGAAGAGGCTGCATCCAGCCTGGGAGTGGGCATTTGGCTGCTGAAGTGGGACAGCCCCTTGCAAACACAGGGGACGTGCTGGAGAGGGGCAGGGAAGCCGAGGCGGACTGCACGAGGGTCCCTGGGTCCGGCAGGGCCGTGGGCTGGATGCGGCCCCTCACTCACCTGCCGCTCCAGAGACACCTTGTCACACTCCAGGTCCTGGCGGCTGGAGCGCTCCTGCAGCAGCTCTGCCCGCAGCTGGTCAATCTGGGGAGAGGGGGCACAGGGGGGTTTAGCCCCGCAGTGGGGACACTGCAGGTGGCCACAACCCGGGGTCCCCAGCCCCCTTCCATGAGCCCCAGCAGTTCCCAACGGACACAGAACACAGGAACCCTAGCGAGAGGATTTTGGTTCCTTCCCCAGTCGGCTATTGCCCTTCCAGTGAGCGGCAGTCGCGCCTCCCCCCCCCTCCAGGCATGCGTGGCTGGGGGATGAGGACTGCAATTTCCTACTGGAGGGTTTAACTGGTTGGACTGGGATTCGAGGACCTGGCTGCGCTCTCAGCTCTGCCTGGCACCTCCGGGCACTGCAGCGCAGCCACGCTCGGGGCAGAAATGGATTTGATGCTCTGATGAATCAAACCCAAGGTCCCCACGGGCCTGTTGGAGGCTGCCCAGAGCTAAATACACGTCTGTGCGTTATTTTAAGGTCGAGGGAACGTACTTCTGTACAAAGGGTTGCTTGAGTTATGTCTAAGCAGCCCAAAAGTCACAATGATTTTTTTTCGAACCACGCTCCGGTTTCACAAACACCTCTGCCCCTCAGCACCCACGGTTTGGGCACGTTGAGTACTCCCAGGACAAGTCTCCTCCTGGAAGGATCTCATCCTCGTAGATGTCCCCATTTACCAGATGAAAAATGGGAAAACCCACCCAATTTACCAGCTCACCAGGACAAAGCCCGTGTCATGGGGCACCCCAGGGTGCCAAAATGCCCCTTCCACAGCCCAAGAGGGATCACAGCGGGGCTGGGAGCAAAGGGTCTGCCTCTCCCAGAGCCCCACAGCGCTGCCACCCGCTCCCTGCACAGGACCAGGGGGTCGGCAAAGCCGATCGGTGCCGGTGCCAGGAGGCTCGGCAGCAGCTCACGCCTGCGCGTAGAGCTCCAGCACCAGCTCCGGCTTTGAAGCTAATTAGCAGGTGGGTTAATAGAGAGGTTACAGCCAGGAGACTGGCGTAATTTTAGCCCCAACTTCCTGCATAAACACAAACCTCACCCTGTAATTTCAGGGGATTTTTTTTTTTTTTCACCAAGCTCGTATAATTTCCTCTCGCACCCGAACCAGCTTTTCAGATGACACCTCGGTTGTATTTAGACACTGGGAGCAATGGGAGGGGTCAGGGCTGCTCAGTAACAGCTCGCTAACGAGGCTCCAACCCGGGGACTGCAGCCAGGAGCCCAGGCTCTGCACCGGAGAGGACCGGGCTGCGGCTCGGGGGGCTCCGGCACGGCACCGCCCGCCCTACCTGGTCTCTGCTGCGGTTGACCCGCTCTGTCAGCAGCTCCACCGTGGTCCTCTCCTCATCCAGCTCCACCTCCAGGCGCTTGGACTTCTCCTACAAGCCAGAACAGGTCGGCGTGACCCCACGGTCCCCACGGCAAGGGGACAGGCAGCTGGAGGGGCTGGCTGGGGGCAGCGAGCGCCCACCCGCTTAAGAAGGTGCCGTGCTGCCGGCGATGAGCACCGAGGTGCTGGAAGAAGGGGCTCGCACCAACATCGGGCTGCTCAGCAGCCTCCAGCCCAGCAAAACCCAACTGCCCCAGGGCCCTGGCACAGCCCAGGAGCCAGGAGAGGAGACACGCTCAAAGAGGCAAGGATAACCCTAAAGCAACATCCCACAGGAGGCACGGCAGCTCTCCCACGCGAGTTGTGGGGCAATGCTGGCTTGAAGGAGCCGAGGAGGTCGGCTGCAGCAGCAATTACCAACTGCAGCACTCCCAGCACTGCCACCCCGCGTCCCTCCTGCCTCGCAGCAGCTCTGGCTCGGGCGCAGGGGGAAGGCTGGGCGCGCTCTGCCCCTTGCTGTTGGCGCTCAGCACTGCAGGAACCACACCGATCGGTGCCACAGGCAGCAAAGCAGCGCTGGATCCTCGTCCCTCCCTGCACCATCAGCCCTCTCCCTCTGCAGGGGGCTGTGGTTTGGAAGAAGCCACGGGTTTGGTTTTAGGGCGCTGCGCCACCCACCTCCAGCGCCTTGACCTGCCGGGAGCGGTCGTCCTGGGAGCGCCGCTTGGCGTCCGCCTCCTGCTCCAGGTTGTGCAGGCGCTGCAGCAGCACCTCCTTGTCCAGCAGCGCGCTCTCCCGCTCTGCCTGGCTGTCCTGCAGCGCCTGCTTCAGCCGGGACACCTGGGGGAAGGGCAGCCCGCATGAAACGAGGGAGGAGAGGGAGCAGAGGGAGCAGAGGGGCCCCGCAGCCGCCAGCCCCCGCCGAACCTCGTCCTGCAGCCGGCCCATGCTGAACTGCATCTTCTCCACCTCGGCACCCCGGTCCTTCGCTTGTTTCTGGGAGTCCGTGATCTCCTTCCGTGACTTCTCCTTGAACTCCTCCAGCTGTGACTTGAGCACGGCCAGCGAGCTGTTCGACTCCTCTGCCATTTGCTCCAGCTGCGGCAGAGCGGGGAGAGCTCAGGAGCTGATGGGGGGCAAGGAGCTGGGGGGAACATTTCTGCTCTGGGAGCTCGGGAGCACCATGGAAGGGATCCCTGAGCACCACCCCCCTCCAACCCACGGTGCAGAGAGTGCCCACGGTGACACCCAACACCCCCGGGACAGGGCCCTGGGGTACGGGAGCCGACCTCTTTGTTCAGCTTCTCCGTGGTCCGGTCCAGGAGCCGCTTCTGCTCCTCCAGCTCGCTCTTGGCGCGCTTCAGCTGCTCCTTCTGCCTCTGCTCCTCCTGGAAGGAGGCGCTCAGCTCCTGGTGCTCCTGCGTCAGCCGGGCCAGGCTGCGCTGCGCCTCGTCCAAGCGCGTCTCCAGCAACCTCTTGGCCATCAGCAGCTCCTGCTCCCGGTCCGTGGATTCCCCCAGCGACTCCTCCATCTGCCTGCGCTCTGCCTGCGGGGACAAGGCTTGTGAAACTCGCAGCTGCCTCCTGCCCGTGCCTCCAGCACGGCTCCGGGACCCGGTGCCCACGTCCTGGATGCGTGGGGGGGTGGCAGGGACGGGCTCCGCACCTCCAGCTTGGTGACCTTCTCCTTGAGCCGGGCCTGGGAGCCCTCCCAGCTCTCGCCCATGCGCTCGTACTCCTTCAGCTGCGTTTCCATGCCCAGGACCTTCCTCCTCAGGTCGTCCTTCTGCTCCTGCAGCTCCCGCAGGGTGGACTCCACCGCCTTCCTCGCCTGCTCCGAGGACTCCCTCTCGCTCTCCAGGGAAGCCTTCTCCTGCAACGGGAACAGCATGAGGAGGTCCTGGGGCTGGCTGCTGAGCTGGGAGGGGGCTCAAGGGGACCCTTTGGGCTTGTGGCCACCAGCCCAGCCCACGGGAGAGTGATCCAGGACAAAACTGTGGGGCTCACGCAAAGCTCCGTGGGGTCCCACGACAGCAAGAGCAGGCCTGTGGTGGGAACTGCTCCTCTTCCCCTGGCCCAGCACTCACCTTCACGGCCTCGTCCCGCTCCTTCTGGAGCTGCTGCAGGTCCCTGCGGTACCGCTCAATGGCCCCGTCGCGGCTGGACGCCTCCTCCCGCATGGTGCCCTGCAGGGCCGCCAGCTCCCGCTCCCGCTGCCGCAGCCGCTCGTCCTGCTCCTGCTTCTCTGCCACCAGCTCCCGCTGCGCCTCCTGGGCCTGGCGCAGCTCCTGGGGACGGGGAGGGGGTCACGGGGACCCCTCCTGTTGGCCATCATCCTGCTGGGGTGCAGGACAGGGCTGCGCCTTCCACGCTGCCCCCTCGTCACCCACCTTCTTGAGCGCCTCCAGCTCGCCAGGGTCCAGCGCGTTGCTCCGCGCCTGGTCCGCCTCCTCCCGTGCGGCTGAGAAGCGCTCCCGCAGCTCCCGCAGCTCCTCCTCGAACTCCTCCCGCTCCAGCTTCACCTGCAGCAGCCTGGAGAGGGGCAGGATGAGGCTGGCACCCCCTGACCCATCCCTGAGGGACACTGGGTGGTCGCACGAAGGCTGCTCCTGCCACCGGCGCTTACTCCTGCTTCGTGGTGCGGAGCTCGTCCTTGTTCTTCTGGAACATGTCCCGCCAGTGCCCCGTCTCCTCCGTGCTCTCCTCCAGCTCCCGCTGCAGGTTCCTCACCACGGCGCTGATTTTCTGCTTCTCCGACTCCAGGCTGGCCTGATCCTGGCGGGCAGGACCCGAGCAGCTGAGCGCTTGCATCCTCAGGGGATGCTCCAACAGTGCCGAGCCCCTGCTGGGTTAACGCCTCCCAGAGCAGCCTGGGGAAGCTGCAAAGGGACACGGGGAGCCCCGGGCCCCAATGGGGAGCCCCCTGCTGTTGTGGAGCCCCATGCCCCCTTAGGGAGCCACCTCCAGCCCAGGGCAGCGGGGTGCTGTGATGGGGAGGGTCTGGGGCAGGACACAAAGCCCGATCCCAGCTCAGGAGCACACAGAGGGGGATTTACGGACACAGACCCCAGGCTAAGACCCTGCCCAGCGAGACGCCTGGGGTGCTCCCCGCGGGCAGACCTGCGAGATGCCCTCCATGCTGCGCCGCAGCTGGTCCATGTCGCTTTGGTACTGCTGCCGGACGCGGTCCAGCTCCTTGTCGTGGTTCGCCACCTCCTCCTTCAGGGCCCCCTTCAGCGCCGTCAGCTCCCGCTCCCGCAGCCGCAGGTGCTCCTCCTGCCGCTGCTTGGAGCTCAGCGCCTCCTCCAGCTCCTCGCGGGTCTCCAGCAGCTCCTGGGACACGGAGGGGTCCCCGTGGGCTCGGTGGTGAGGCAGGGGATGCTCGCGCCCCCCCTGGCCGTGTTGCCGTACCTTGTACAAGGCTTCCCTGTCCGGAGACGCCCCCGAGGCTTGGTGCAGGCGGCCGAGCTCCTCGCGCATCGCCGCCAGCTGCTCCTCGCGCTCACCCAGCCGGGTTTCTGCCCGTCCCCGGGCTGCCTTCGCCTCGGCCAGCCTAGGGGAGAGCACGAGGGGCAGTGCCCCGCTCTGAGCCCCCTGGGAAGCCCAGGGCACGTCTCCAGCCCTAAGGGCAGGCGAGCGTCTGCACGGGTGGGGAGCTCGCTGGGCTCCGTGCCTCCGGCAGGTGATGGGATGGGGGCACACAGGAGCCCCCCTCCGCTCCTCCAGCCCCATCCCTGCAGCCTTGGCACCCTCAGAAATCCCCAGCGCCCCCCATCAGCACCCCCAGAGCACGCTGACAGCCCCAGCACAGCTCTTACTCCTGCAGGCTCCTCTGCAGCTCCTGGCCTTTCTTCTCCAGGGCCGCCCGCAGGCGCTGGCTCTCCTCCTCAGCCTCCTGCAGCCGGGCCTCCAGTGCCCGTGCGGTGCCGCTCCGCGCCGGGTCCCTCGTCAGCTCCAGCTTCTGGCGGAGCTGCCGGGGATGGGACGGCAGTGAGACCCCCACCAGGGGGACCAGTGGCCGTGGCGATGCCCCCTGCCCGCTGCCCCAGCATCGCTGGGAGCAGGGAGCTCCCTCCGCCTGGCCTCACCTTGGTCTCCTCGTCAAGCCGTTCCTGCAGCTCCTCCACCTTCCTGGCCAGCTCCGCGTGCTGGGGCTGGGAGCACGCCGCGTCCTTGGCAGGCACCTGGGGGGAGCCCCGGGCTCAGCCGGCACGCACGGGCACTGCTGGCCAGAGCTTGGCCCTGCAGTTTCCTCCCAGAGGCAGCCTGGCCTCAGCCTCGTGCTGTGCCCCACGCGTTGGGGGGTGTCCCACGCGAGCCCCCTGCCTCCCCCTGAGCACAGCGGGGAACGAGGCAGGGCAGCAGCACCGTGCCGGCCCCAGCTCACCGTCAGCTCCTGCACCTTCTCGAACACCAGGGCAGTTTTCCTCTTCAGGGAGGTTTCGCTGTCTCTGCTCCTGAGGACATCACAGGGAAAAGGAAAGCGTTTGGGTACAGAGGGGACGGAGCGGGGTGAGCATGGGAGGCAGGGGCACCCCAAGCGCCTGGCTGCTCTCCTCCCCATAGCCTTAACCTGGCTGCAGCTGCCCCAATCCGCAGAGCCCTGCCCCAGGCAGCCCCCACAGCAGCGACTGGGGCAGCTCCGCTCCCGACCTGCCCCGCAGCACGCTTCAGGAACTGGGACAGGGAACGGCCGGGGCCCAGGATGCAGCTGGGATGCTCACCCCTCCTTCAGGATGCTGTAGATGAGCTCCTTGGTGTGCTCGCTGCTGCCAGGCTGGGCCACCTCCCGCTGGTCCCGCAGCAGGTCCGGGGTGGATTTGAACTGCCACGAGGACGGGAGCACAGCTCCAGCGAGAGCCAGGCACGAACCCCCCACCCGGTGCCCCCGCTGAGCCGAGGATGCTGTCCCCTGGGGAGCGCAGGGCGAGGTGCCCGATCTGCACTGGGGGGCTGGTGTCGCGGGTTCCTGTGTTTGTGCCCCAGCAGGGAAGGCTCTCGCCCAGAAGCCCCCCGAGACGCAGGGGCTGCGGGCAGGGCGGCAGCTGAGTGCTCGCAGGACGTCAGCCCCACGGGGAAGCCAGAAGCAGTGCGGGTGCCCTGCTCAGCTGAGGGGGCAGCTGGCACCAGTGAGGAGTCCCCAGCCCAACCCAACATGGCCCAGAGCCCAGATTAACGAGTGCAGGACCCCCAGTGCACCACCACCAGCGCTCAGCCCACACTAATCAGCAGGACCCAAGGCCCCGCAGGATGAGGCCCTTGATGGGATCCATCCCCCCGGTACCTGCAGCTCTGCCCGGGCTTTGCTTTGCAGCCGCTCGGTCGGGGGCTCCTCCAGTGCCCCGGGTCGCCCGCTGGCTCCTCGCCGCCCCCTCCTCCGCCGGCCTGGCTCCCTGCTCCCGGCCCAGGCTGCCGGTGGGCCCCGAGGGCAGGGGGCGAACGTCCCCGCGCCGGGCACCGCTCAGCTCCCGGCCGTCCGGCACGGCGCGGTGAGACACGCGGCCGTCGAGGCTCTGCGAGCGCTTCCTCTCCTCCGAGGGGATGCGGCCCCTCCGGGCTGCCCGGCCCCTCTGCTGCACCTTCCCGTCAAATTTGCTGATGAGCGAGTCCACCGAGGAGAGCGGCTTGGTGTCTATGTCGCTGCCATCAGAGCCCCCCGGCCGCCGGCGCCCCGGGGCCTCTGAGTCCGAGGAGGGCTCCCTGACGGCAGCCCCAAAGCCGGACACTTCGCCCGGTGCCGGCCGGGGCGGCGCAGCGACGCTCAGCATGCTGCTGCTTCTGCTGCCGGACAGAGCCCGGGGCTGGTGGGGGCCGCCGGGCTGCCCCCGCGGTGGGCCGGGGGCGAAGGGCTCCTCGTCATCGTGGGCAGTGAGCAGATTGCCGTGGGACTGCGTCCTCCGCAGCTCCTCCCTGGGCGGACGCTTTGGTGGGGGGCTTGTGCCGGGGGGGCGCTGGGACCCCCCCACCGGGCTCCTCGTCTGAGGTGCTCCAGGAGGGCTGCCGGCGCACGTAGGGGTTCTCCGGCAGCTCCGAGTCGGGGCTGACGGGGCCGGGGGGCAGCTCGGGGGGCCAGGGGGCCGGCTGGGGGGGCCGGTGTAGGCGCCCTCGCTTTTGATCTGCACCCCGAAGGAGTCGCTGCCCTTCTCGCCGCTGTTGAGCACGACGAAGGGCTGCCCGGCGATGCCCTGCACGCGCACCGCCACCCCGTAGGAGCCCGGCTTAGGCCCGCGCCTTGGGGGGCTTCTTGGGCTCCTGCAGGTCATTGATGAAGCGGATCTGGACCCCGTAGTCCACCGGGTTCTGCTTCTCCGCCATGTCCGTGCCCGCCGGCCACTCCATGCCGGGTCTCAGCACCGCGGTCCTGGGGGGAGGAGAGGGCAGAGTGACCCCGGGCCCCGCGCTGCCGCAGACGGCGCTCGGCAGGGGTCCGTCCTCCCCCCCCCCTCCCGTACAGCAGCCCCTGCCCCTGCAGGCTCTGGGAGCCCCGCGCTGCTCCCGTGTGCCCCTTCCCAGCCTCACAGAGCCCCCGCCCCAGGGAACGGCGCCGGGCACGGAGCAGGGATGCAAACGGCGTCCCCAGGATGGGGCAGGGACGAGGAGCCCGGCTGCATCAGCACCAGCACCGCGGGGATGCCCCAAGCCCGCTTATCCTCGGGGGGCTCAGCTGACCCCCCCGCCCCGAGCCGGGGTGCTTACCGGCCGCTCGTCCTGCTCGCCCTTCGCAGCCGGGACGCGGGGGGGACGCAGCGCTCAGAGCCTGGGGGGGCTCCGCAGCCAGGATCCGCTCCCGCTGCCTCCCGGGTGCCTGCGGAGCGCCGCAGCCTCACTGCAGCGAGCGCCTCGGAGCCCGCCAGCATCGCCGGGCCCCCGCCTCGCCCTGCCCGCAGCCGGCGACGCGCGCTGGGAGGGGACGGATGCGAGCGGTGACACATTGGGCACGGCGTGACGCGACCCCCCCGGGGGCACCGGGGACGGGGGTGCTGCAGCCCAGCCGAGCAGCGGCTCGCGGGGAGGACGCGGCTGCCGGATCCGCCTGCGCAGCCAGCGCTGCCCCCGAGCTTCGCGCCCCGAGCGGGACTGATCTGAAGCGACGGCAAAGCCTGGAACTGCCCCCCCTGAGCCGCACGGCACTGGGTTCCCCCCCCACCTCCAACACCAGCGGGGAGAGCAGCAGCTCCGGGCTCTGCTTTAAATAAACCGGGTCCAGGAGTGGGCGACGCAAGGTGCCGGGCGCTGAGCTCGCCCCTGCCCGATCACGAGGGGACCCTGGGACCCGCGGGGAGCCTGAGCCAGGCAGGGCAGCGCTCAAACACGTCCTGCACGTAGAGAAAAACGTGAAACAACCCCCAAAAAAACCACCACACTTTCAGCTTTCAGCAGGGGTTTTGATGTTGCCCCAAAGCTGTCCTACCCCAAGCAGTCAGGGGTCGCACACCCACCCCGTGACCGGGGCCACCCAGAGCCCACCCAGGCTCCCTCATTTCCCCACACACCCCCGAGACCCCGTCTGCCCCCTGCCCACCCCAGGAAGAAATCCGAGCCAGAGCCCCGCTGCCCTGGGACAGCCCCAGAAGGACAAACAGCCGCGGGGACGCCTGCCCAGGCTCGGGGGGCTGAGCCTTCTGCTCCCCCCAGCACACCGCGGCTCTGCCGGCTCCCCACAGCCACCGGCTGCTCCCGTTCCCCGGCCAACCCACAGGACCAGGACCAGGGTCCAGCAGCACCAGAGGAAAGCTTGAACAGAGCCACGGCTGCAACCCAGCACTGCAGGGAGGCTGCGGACGCTTCACCGGAGCCTTTCAGGTCTTTATCCCCCATCTCGGGGCAAGGGGCAGCTCCCAGGAGGTGCCCGGAGCAGCAGGCGGGTGACAAGCTGCTCGTCCTGCGGGCCAGGCAGCAGCCAGCTGGCACGGCCAGTGGGATCAGCAGGGTGAAGCCGGCAGAGCACCGGGCCCCGAGCAGATGGCAGGGAGGCGAAGCACACCCGGCCCTGCGGGAGGTGGCACCGAGCGGGGCAGCAGCAACGGGGCTGAGGGAAATGCCCCCACCTGGTCCCGAAGCCTCCTCCAGCCCAGAGGGACGGGTGCTGCCGCTCCTGATCTCGTTATCCCTGCACAGCATCGAGATAACGAGATCAGCAGCAGACACCAGCCTCTAGAAACACGCCCTGAACCCAGCACCGCTGCAGGAGCCCCTAAAGCCAAGCCGCCAGCCCTGTGCCAGGGGACACGGGCACCAGCAGCAGCGCGTCCGCTCCGTGCTGCGGCAAGGCAGAGCCCATATGGCTGGCCCGCAGGGAATGGCAGGGCCAGGCACGGCCATCGCAGCTGTTTGTGAGCAGCAGCACAGCGAGGAGAGGAAGCGGCTTTGGCAGCAAAGCCCAGATTTGTCCACAGCGGTGTCCAAAGTGCAGCGAGTGCCGGGCTGCAGCCTGGGTGGGGAGAGGGCTCGGCTCGACCGCTACTGGGCAGGAATGGCAAGCACTGGGCGCAGCACCCGGCTCCAGGAGACCTTTGGACGCGGCCCCGCAGCCCTGTGCTGGCACACGCAGGGACCAGGTGGCAGAAAACCACGGGGGTGACGCGCAGCCGCTGGCGGGGTGCTGTGCAGGGCCAGACCTCAGGGAGGATTTGCTCCTTGCAGGGGAGCAGCGGCAGCTCCGTGGGCACGCGGCATCGCTCGAGTGTGTGCCACGCCGCCAGCAGCGGTCCTGCAGCACGAGCTGGGTGTTGGGGAGCAGGTGAGCCGCTAATCCCCCAGGAATGCCTCCTCCTGGAAGGGCTCCAGCTCGCAGATAAAGGGACTTGAAACGGCCAGATTGCATTCCGACGTGGGAAAGCAGCGCAGAGCCCAGGGCTGGAAACAGCCCGGGGAGGAGATTTCACTGGAAAGCACAGCGAAGGAGCGGGAGGGACGAAGGACTGGAGCTACAGACACTCTGCTTATCGTCCCTGGGCGTGCAGCTCACTCTCTGGCCAAGCACGCGGGGACCGTGCTGTGCAAACACACCTCAGCTCTGCCCCGATCCGGCCGGCCGCCAGCAGGGCAGGGGGCGCGGGCAGGCGGCGCGGGTCCCCCGCTGGCGGTCACGCACCTCCAGCGTCCCGGGGATGGCGGGCGGCCAGCTCCGCTCATGCAGATAGGGAACACAATGGGCCCTTTGTGGGCACGTTAGCCCAGAAAGTTGTTTTGCAATTCGCCGGCAGCGAGTGGCTCGCTCACCCTTCCACTCCTGCACAGGAGGAAAAGCAGAGCGCCGCCAGCTCCTACCTGTCCTCCTGCACACAGGTACCTGGGGCAGGGTCCGCTCGGCAGGAGCGTGCTCACCCTTCTGCAAAGGGACCGTGGCCCCGGGGAGCAGGGTGCGCTCCCAAGGCCACCGAGTCACCCTGAGCCCAGCGGCAGCTCGGCTGGCACAGCTCCTGCGCCCCTGAGCACTGGGAACCTCTGAGTGCAAAGCCCCAGGGGCTGGATTGTCCCAGAGCACCTCACATCCAGAGCAGTGTCACAGCAAAGAGAGCGGCAGGAACATAACAAAACCAACATTTCTGTTTGTCACCCATTTTCTTGGCTCCCGGCACGCTGGAGGCTCCTTCCCCTGAGGGTTTCCCAAAGGCTTTGCTCTACCTGTGACCCGTTGTTGGTTGTGTTTACGCACAGCCATGCAGGACCCCAGGGCTCACGGCACTCGGGGCCAAAGTCTGTGGCCGGTTTCACGTGCCAGCAGCAGCCGTGCCCGCGCCCTGCCCGTCACCACAGACCGGCCGCTCCTGCCTCCTGTGCTCTGCTCCCTGGCGGAGCCCGAAACCCCAATAAATCCCAGGGCGAGCACACGCGTGACAAGCCGCAGGTCGGAGACGCCCGAAACCAGCGCGCCCAGGGCTGCGTCACCGGGGCCAGGGCGTCCCCAGCCCCGGGGACGTCACCGCACCCCCAGGGCCCCGCGGCTCCCCACACCGCAGCCCGGCTGATAAGGCAGAGCCTCCGAATTCCTTTGCATCCGAAAGCCTCCCGAGCCACCCACGGCGAGAGCGCTGCGGTTTAATCATCAACCCGGGGACGGGAAAGCCCCGCTCCCTGCCCGGCGGTCGCACCCGCGGCGCTTCCCTCCCCGCATCCCCGAGCCCACGGGGCCGCTCCTGCCCTGCCCTCGCCAACCAGCGGCGTTTGGGCCAAAGCCGCCTCCGGCAGCTGCTGCGGTTTGGTTGTGGACGGCAGCGAAACGGCCACGAACGGGGCCGGGGCCGCTCCCGGTGCTCCCACGGCAGGGCACGGCTCACCCAGCCCCACACCCGCAGCCGCGTGGCAGCGCCCCTCACATCTGCCTCAGTCCCCGCTTCCCGAGCCGATCGCCCCTTTGGAAGCAGAACCGCTCGGATCCGGGCGCTGGGAGGGGAAATTCTCCCCGGGGGAACCGAGGCAGAGCAGGGGCAGCCCCAGGGGGCGCAGATCCGCAGTGCCAGGGGACCCGGTGCTGTGTTCGCTGTGTTCGGGCACACGGAGCTCGTGAGGCTGAGGGGCAAACAGGGGCTCAACCCCTTCGCCGTGGGGCTGCGGTGAGCAGCAGCAGCCCCGGCACCGCGGGGAGCCCCCAGTTGTCCCCCCCCGGCTCACGCTGACACCTCAGTGCCGGTCCCAGCCGGCACCACCCCCCCCCAGTGCGGCCCCAAAATAGCAGCGGGGGGGGGGGGACGCTGCGAGGGGCCGCAGGGGGAGAGGACCCGGTCACAAGCGCCACGTTATCTGTGGGATGTTATCTACGGGACAGAGGTGGAAACTCGGCCCCAAACCAGCTCAACTGGTCGGGGTGGTGGGGAGCAAAACCGCCCGCAGCGACACCGGGCACCCTCCAAACAAAGGGCCGGGACCGCGGGCACAGCGGCTGGGTTACCCCGGGGACAGAGCAGCGGAGGGGAGGAAACGGGGACAGGGACCGGGGCACCCCGGCCCCTCGCAGCCCGCACCCAGCCTGCAGGGACGAGCCCGTGGGCGTCGAGACCCGGCCCCGGTGACCGTGGGCATCGCGGCCCCAGGGGACCCGGGGGGGCACGGAGGCAGCTCGGGGGACGCCGCATCGCTGTGACCCCCCGCAGCCAGCGCGGGTTTCGTTTTCCTCCCTCACTGAAACAGGAGGCTGCAAACGGCGCCCTGGCAGCCGGGCGAAGCGGGGCAGCGCCGCGCATTAAAGTTTCAGCAGGTGCCGCGTTACGGGCGGGGTTTGGAGCCACCCGGCAGCGGGGAGCACGGGGCCGGCCCCGGGGTAATGAAGCGGTGACGCTGCCCGGTCCCGGAGGGGGGGGATTTTCCCACAACTCGTCCTCCTGCCGCTCACGGCTCCGGTGCGGGTATCTCCGCATAAAGGAAGAGCCCCGAGGTCGCGGCCGTGCTCGGAGCGGCTCCGGCTGTGCCCGTCCGGGCTGGGACGTGGCTCTTATCGGCCACCTCCCCCGGTCAGAGATTGCGGGAGCCATAAACGGCGCTAAATATTTACGAGGAGCGAACGAGGGAGCAGCCGCAGCAGCACCGAGGGGACGGGGACGGGATCCACGGGGCGCAGGGAGGGAGCCCCAGAGCAGCGCCCGTGGGGGGGTCACAGCGGGTCCCCGCCCGAGGGCACCCCCGGCAGCAGCCCCCACAGGTGGGAGCGCGGGGCCGGGACCCCGGGGACGCTCCCGGCAGGGGGGAGCGCAGCGAAACGCAGGGCCCTGGGGGAAGGGGCGGCCCCGCAGAGCCCCTGGGGGTGCCGCAGGACCCCTCAGCCTGCGGGAGGGAGGGGACCCCAGCCGGGGGCAGCCCCCGGAGGTGGTGCCGCGGGGCCGGGCACGGCCCGGGAACGGCCCCGGCCCCGGGGGGCTCTGCCGGGAGGCTGCAGGGAGAGGGCAGCGGCCCCACGACCCCCCCCCTATGGGACCCCCCCCCTATGGGACCCTCCCCTATGGGACCCCCCCCCCATGGGACCGACCCCCCCCCCATTGGGACCGACCCCCCCCCCATTGGGACCCACCCCCCCCCCCATTGGGCCGCGCCGACCCCCCCCCCATTGGGGGGCCCCCCCCCCCCGCTCACCTC